GGAGGTAGTGTTATTATTAATACGAGTATCACCATTGCGAGTATTACTAGCATTATGATTGTTATTATAACCAGTTATTATTGATATTCTACGAGTCGTACCATTATTCTTCTTGTTAGTATGGTAATTATCAGTAGCATTGTCCTTACCACTAGTATCACTACTACTACTAAGCATAAGCAGTCTAATTAATATTTTTAGTAGAAGTACTCGTATCTTTTAGTGTAGATACGGTTAATACTAGTACGTAGTATAATTGATATTGAAATTATCAATAAGATTGATACCATGTTCCTTACGATTATTATTGTTACTAGTTTGCTTACTTGTATTACTACGCTGGTACTTATAGAGGCCTCTTCGGGAGGTGATCATGAAGTCTTCGTCACGAAGGCGCTCGCGGTGGTCTTTTCTGAGAGGGGGGTCGTGGAGGTTATCTTCGCGCTGGCGTTCGCAAAAGATCTTTTCCGAAGGGTGCTCGCAGAGGCCTCCTTCATGGACATGTTCGCGGAGGCATTATTTGGAACGGTGCTCGCGGAGGTATTCTTCACTTTCACGTTCGTAGAAGCCTTCTCCCGAGGACGCCCGTGGAAGTCTCATTCACGAAAGTCTTGCGGAGGCCTTCTCCAGGAAGACGCTCGTGGAGGTTATTTTGGTGCTGGTTTTCTTTCGTGGAAGTTTTTCTACGGGGGGATGCTCGCGGAGATTTTCACTCGCGTCCGCGGAAGCCTTCTTCAGAAAGCGCTCGCGGAGGTCCTCACGAATGTGCTCGCGGAGGCTTTTTCCGGGAGGATGCTCGTGGATGTCTTCTTCGTGCCATTGCTCTTGGAGGTATACTTTGCGAGGTGTTCGTGGAAGTACTATTCATCAGTGCGCTCGTGAAGGCCTTCTCCAGGCGGCTGTTCGCAAGTGTTTTTTTCGCGCTGGCGTTCCCACAAGCCGTTTCCGGGAGGATGCTCGCGGAGGTCTTTTTCGTGCTGGTGCCCGTGGAGGTATATACCGTGGTGTTCGTGGAGGTTATCGTCGTTACGGTTGGCTGTTTCGTGGCCCAAGCTGGTGCTGGAGTCCCTCCTTCGCTTGGTGATGACGCCGTAGATCATGCCCTCTGTAGTCGCCGTGCCTCGTCCACTCCTCGGGCCCGTACTGCCTGGCTGAAGTCGCTCCCCAGTCACCGGTGGTCGTCACACCCGCGCGGCAGGGTGCAGACACAACAGGGTGTGTCGGACCATCGGACAACCGTTGCGGCTGCGCCGCGCGTCTGCGGCTCCCCGCCAGAACCCAGCAACGTGTTGGTTTTCCTGTCCCCCTACATTCATGCAATACGCCGCCGATCACCATTATCATTCATCATTAATAATAATAATAATAATGATAATAATAATAAATAATAATAATAATAATAATAATAATAATAATGATAATAATGATAATAATGATAATAATAATAATAATGATAATAATAGTAGTAGTAATAATAATAATCTAAGAATAATAATGTTAATAATGCTAGTAATAACAACAACAGTAATAATAGCAATAATGATAATAATACTCATAATCAGAATCATAATCAGCATCATCAGCATCCTCATCATCATCATCATCATCATCATCATCATCGTCATCATCATCATCACCATCATCACCATCATCACCATCATCACCATCATCACCATCATCATCATCATCATCATCATCATCATCATCATCATCGAGAGAAGGAGCAGCAGCATCAGCATCCGTATCAGCGTCATCATCATCAGCAGCATCAGCATCGTCGTTATCATCCTCATCCTCATCCTCCTCGTCATCCTCAGCATCATCATCAGCAGCACCAGCATCATCACCCTCACCCTGATCATCCTCATCATCGTCATCGTCGGGCCATCATCATCATCATCATCATCAGCATCGTAAGGGTAGCAATCATCAGTCCCCATTAACATCGACATGATCAGTTGCATCAACATACATCGCCGCTCCGAAAAGTCCTTGAATTTTTCTGAGTTGGGCCCGATGGCATTGTGTGGTCGCCTACGTCGCACCCCTCTTGACAACGGCCCCGACGGGGTTGAGGGGCAGGATGCGTTGAAACCCCCTACCCCCCTAGAAGCCTAGCAAGATAGCCCTCTTGCGTGGTCTCCGCGGGATCCTTCGCGAGTAGTTTCCCCTTTAAAAATATATAGTTCTAATCAAATCAACCATACATCCCACCCATAAAAGTAGGGTCCAGAATCCCGCGGTGGGACCCACTCCCGCCAATGTGTGACGTGTTCGGGTCATCTTGAAGTCATCTTGAAATCATCTCCAGGTCATCTTAAGATCATGGTGTTATAGTCTTGGAATGCTCCGGCCACCTCGGGGTCGCTCTGGGGCCAGCCATCTTGGATTCGCCCCCAGGCCATTTCGACGCTGCGTCTGGATCCTGCAGGGGCTACGGGGTCTTCTTGGGGTCGCCCCAAGGCCATCTTCGTGCCCGTCTGAGGCCGTCGTGCAACCATCTTGGGGCCATGGGGCCGCCCAAGCATCCTGTCTGGGTCGTCTGGAGGTCTTCCACGTTTCCAAGGAAACTTTCGTTACGCCTAATGAATGCTCATCATCATCAGTATCCGCATCCCCATCCTACTCCTCATAATCATCAGCATCATCAGCATCA